TGTCCTTTTACCTAGCCGAGTTGAAGGCGTTCCTAATGTCAATTGCCACGAGCGCGCAGAATCCTTTCTTCTTGCCGACTTCTCTTCTGGCTGCGACTGCTTTATCGATTACTTCCAGGATGGCATCCGTCGTCGAGCGGCCTCTTCGGAATCCATATTGCCTGTGAGAAAAGCATATGAGTACCTCAAGCCTAGAGAATATTAAACCCTCAAGCAGCATGCTCATGGTGTCAAGGAGGCACAGTGGTCTGTATGATTACGTCTGATCTACCGGCTTGTTGCCCTTTCAGAGGAGTATCAGCTTTTGTCTCTCCAGGTCTTGAAGAATATCCCAGCCTCAAGGCAGCGGTTATAGATTGACAAAAGGAATTCCGGATACTCCTGTGCCACTATTTTTAGTATTTCACAGGGAATTCCATCGAAACCTGGGGCCTTCCCAGTTTTCATGCTTTTCGTCGCTCTCCTCAGTTCGTCTATCGTGAAGTAATGTTCTCCTCAGTTCGTCTATCAATGAAGGTAAATTTAATATTTTTGGCGAAGATGGGAGATGTATGGCGCGGAGGAAGAGAAACTCCGTATTCCACGAAGAGAACCTCCAGCCCACAGTGAAATACAGAGGGGGTTCTGTACTCGGCTGAGGGTGTATGAATGCTTCTGGTGTAGAATCTTCACTTTACAATGTACCATGAAATGTGCATCAATATTGTGCAAAGTAAATTTCGTAAATATGCTGAAAAAATATGCCTCAAAGACGATTTCATTCTTCAGCGGAACAATGACCCATAGCACAGAACTTGAAGAACAAGAATGTGGATCCTTTATAATACATCACGATATCTGGGAATAATACCAAAATCTCCAGATATCCATTGAATACTTATGGGCTAAAAAATGAACATCCCGATTTTGTGTAAGAAGTTTCTTAAGCATGCACTCTAGGAGGAATGGGACAGACTCTTGCTACCAATGATGGCAAACCTCGTGGAATTAATTCCAAGACGGCTAGAAGCCATAATAAGTGCCCAAGAACATCTCACCAAATATTAATTTTAGTTACAATTTTATTTCATTTTTATCCGCCGTTCATATGGCTGCTCCCAGTGGCGTAGGCTCAACAGATTCGAGTGATGAATCGCATCCCGAAGTTTTTCGTCCCTTTTAAAACTTTTATTAAAAATGTTTTTCTTCTCAAGTATATCTCTCTGTTCCGTTTGTACATTTTGTTTTTTCACTTACATTTTCACTAAACTTAAGCTACTTAAGCCGTCGAAGGGATGCTTCTTGTCAGGTTTTTCAAAAGTATTAGAAAAACTGTTCTATGAAAGATTTAAGATGTACTTAATACACTGTAACATTATCACTGACTCTCAACATGGATTCAGGGAAAATCGTTCAACTGAAACTGCTCTATTCACCTTTGTAAATGAAATCCTCATGGCATTAGAGCAAAAAGAAATTCCTGTTGGTCTCTTTCTCGACCTGTCAAAAGCCTTTGACACGATAGATCACACAATTCAATTGTCAAAATTAGAATCACATGGAATACGAGGTATTGCTGTACAATTGGATAAAATCATACCTATCAGACAGAAAAACAAATAGTAGTATTACCTTACCAAAAAGACAACAAAATAAATAACCATCACTCCAAACCAAGGAATGTGACATATGGGGTCCCGCAGGGATCCACACTAGGCCTGATTTTATTTCTTATTTTTGTAAATGATCTGCCATCAATAATGGAAAACAACAAATCCCTACTTTTTGCTGATGACCCTAATATAATATTCAAAGAAAGAACAAACAATGCTTTGCAAGACAAAGCCAATTTAGCCATCAACAAGCTAGTTCAATGGATCCACCATAACAAACTAATCCTAAACCGAGAAAATACACTCTCAATACTCTTCCACAACTCCTACTCAACACACTCACCAAATTTAACATTAGAAGGAAACAGCATCAGACAAGCACAGAAAACAAAATTTCTCGGAATCACCATACAATCCAACCTCAAGTGAAACTCTCACCTAGAAGATATTAATTCAAAATTGAGTAAACTTAATTATGCTCTTAGAATAATAATACGAAACAGCACCATTGATACAGCACGAACAGTGTACTTTGCAAATGTGCACTCTATTCTCAAATACGGAATAATAATATGGGGCCAAGCACCAGAGGCTAAACAAACATTCAAAATACAAAAGAGAATAATTTGAACAATAACAAATACAAAAAGAACAAAGCCCTGCAGACCTCATTTCACAAAACTTAACATACTTCCACTGCCTTGTATTTTTATTTATGAAGTTTATTTATTATTATTATTATTTTATTATTATTGTTTGTTGTTTTGTTTTGAGTGTTGTATATTTTATTTATTAGTATTATATTGTAGTAGCAATAAATCACTATTATTGGCAGAAATGTGTATTCTAAAAAATGAAATGTTATAAATCTTCAAATGCAAATATTTTAAAAATTAAATTAAAGTAAGTCAAATCTTCAACTAATTTGCATGCTAAAAAATATTTATCTTCTAAGTTGGCTTAATTATTCTGTAAAAAGTATATGTTATAATTAATAGGCCAATGACCCCATCTTGGAACAGGTTTTTTGTTCCAGTTTCCCTGGTCCTTTGAGCAATGCTGAGATGGCCCCTTGTTTTGCTTCTGGACAATTAAAAATAAATTGTAATTCACTCGCTGCTCCCAAGAGTATTTATTCATATTTGACTCGTCAAACACGATTGTAATTGATATGTGGACTCAATAAATATTCTTCTTCTTCTTAT